TTATTTCCTTCTGAGGAAACTGATTAGTTCAGTGAAACGCGTTTTGTAGCTGGCATCTCGTTAAGTCTTCCTTTAATTCTGGTTAATTTTTTTCCCTTAAACTTTTTGATTTTTGTTATTTAGTTTAACTCTATAGTCGATTACTTCTCGTTTCAGGGATTTTCACGACATCTCATTTGTTTTGTGTAATTTCTTGGTTCCGTGACTGTCTTTTTCCCACTGGTGCTTTTACATGAGCAGAATGTGTGCTTTTATTTAAAATGCTTCTCTGGGCTATTTGTGGGGCATAGGAATTTGTTCCATTTTAAAATATATATATATATATATATATAGTCCAGTCCACCACATGGTCTGAGGGACAGTGGACCGGCCCACGGCTGAAAAAGGTTGCTGACCCCGGCTCTAGCCCCCTGCTTAAGGGTGCTCCTTTTGGTGATCTGTCAAGGCTGGGTGATGAACAGGATGAGGACCCACACAGGCATGTGTGGTTCCTCATCTACCAAGTGGATGAGACCCATAGTGGGTCCATCAGTTAAGAAGGCAGTTTCTATAGGGCCTGTAGAGGGAAGTGAGGGGCAGAGGGGCTCATCTACCCTCTTTTCGTCCCCATCGTAAGCCCCACCACAGAACTACCCCCCTTCCTCTACCTGGGACCAAGAGGTGGAGAACCACCTGGAGCAGGGTCTCTTGAAGCAAGACGCCTGAACTTCTGGCTTGGGGAGAGCGTCGCAGCGCTTCTCGGGGTACTCCTTGTACAGTCCATTTTCCAGCCCCACACACAGCACTGTCCGCATCTTGACGCCTCGGCCACATGTCGCATTGCACTGGAAGGGAGGGAGAGGGGTTTCATTCAGTCGTCTGCATGTTGAATGTTGCATGAAAATCTTGCACGGGGTTATGCTGGGCAGTTGCTCCATGAAATCGCCCATCAAGCTTCTGACTGACGCCTGTTACCAGCTCAAGATGTGCTCTGGCAAAGCAGGTGTTGGAAGGAAGGCAAAGGTACAGTTGCCTCTTTTAAATCTAGCACAGAGCAAAAGTTAACTTTATTGATTCGAGACTCGATCTATTCCCATTTTCATTATGTCTACCCTTACTGCAACGGTGCAAGTTATTTTATTTTCATTATAAAATTTCCAATCCACTCCGTAAATATTTTCTTAATAATGATTTTCATCAAATCTTCCAAGTTATTACACAACTCCAATCATATATATAAGAGTGCTTTTCATTGCACATTTTCTTTTTGACTTCCCATCCCACCTTTGTTGATGTTTTTGTTTTTATTCCTCCTTAATAGCTGTACCCCACCAAGGACTCAGCTACACTGGCAAAGAAAAAAACACTTTATGTGTGTTGCTTGTGCATGTTAACACTGTGACACCAGATGGCGCTGTGGGGTTCCTTTTTCCCCCAACCCGATTTCTCATGCAAAGTCTGCAAAGCATTTAACCGAAACACTTCTTTGATCCGTTCTCAGTAAACTAGAGGTTCTGTAGTTTTGCTTTCTGTTTTGTTTGCTTTTTTCATAGCTATACCTCTTTCTTCACTAAAAGGAAAAACGGAGCCAGTTATCTCAAGAAACATGAAATATAAACAGCAGTCTCTCTCAGCAAGCCAGTGGGCTCATGGGTAGGGCAGGCTTTGGCGGGGAGGGGGGAGGAGAGAGGATGGCAGAAAGGGAGAAATTAAAGCACAGCTAATACATATTTGGACACAGGTGGCACTGTGGGTTAAACCACAGAGCCTAGGACTTGCCGATCAGAAGGTCGGTGGTTCGAATCCCCACGATGGGGTGAGCTCCCGTTGCTCGGTCCCTGCTCCTGCCAACCTAGCAGTTCGAAAGCACATCAAGTGCAAGTAGATAAATAGGTACCGCTCTGGAGGGAAGGTAAACGGTGTTTCCGTGCGCTGCTCTGGTTCGCCAGAAGCGGCTTAGTTATGTTGGCCACATGACCCAGAAGCTGTACGCTGGCTCCCTCGGCCAATAAAGCGAGATGAGTGCCGCAACCCCAGAGTCGGTCATGACTGGACCTAATGGTCAAGGGTCCCTTTCCTTTTTAATACATATTTAAAGCACATGACATCCCTCAAAGAACCCTGGGAACTTTCGTTTCCCCCTCACAGAGATACAATCCCCAGCACCCTTAACAAACCACATTTCCCAGGATTCTTTGGGGGATGTAATGTGCTTAAAATGTGTGTTAGATGTGCTTTAAATTTAAGGTGTGGCTCTGCCCAGAAAGAAATTCAGTTTTTGCTCTGGCGTGCAGCTACCCGCAATAGTTTACTCCCAAAACAATGCAGCCCTGGATAGGTGGGGGAAGCGCCTCACCTTTAGCTTAGAGGCAGGCAGATGGTTTAGCAGAAAAGCAGCCTATGAGCAGCGGAGGAACCAGGCCAGCATCAGTAGCTGTACAGTGCCAGAAGGGACAACACTGACTGCAGGTGGACTGAGAGCTGTGGTGACCTGCCTTCTGGCCACCTGCAGATGTGGTGGTGGTGCTTGGAGCCAAAGCCATATTGATGCCAGTGAGGTTTCTCCTTAACTATGGAAGCTACCTCAAATCCTGGTTTCAAATCTTGGTTAAGAGGGACCACTAGTTGAGGTTGGTGAATTGGGGACCAGGGGAGGGAAGAAGGATGCAATCCCATGGCTCCCTGTCATCTGCTTATAAAAGTGTGGTTTATTTTTAAGGTTGCTATTTCTCCCCCTAAATCTTGTTTTGTGGTGTGCTGATTTTATGCAAGCTGCCTTGTGTCCTTTTATAGAAACTGGGGGGTGGGGGTTATAAGAGAAACAATGAACCCTCTGCCTTGACACCTCTGATACCCTACAAAGAGAAAGCTCAAGGGAGATCAGAAGCAGAAGGCAAAGCACAGAACAGAGTTAATGGTTAGTCAAGAAACACACCCAACAGTAGGCGAACCTTTTGTGGGTGGTGTTGGCAAGAGCATCCTGTTCGTATGGAGGGCGTGACCAAGCGCGGACTCACCTGGTCCCATTCCTGCTTAACCCAATGCGCAGGGCAGTTCTTATCTCCACAGGGGTAGATTGCTAGAGGCTTGGTGTTAGGGTTGCACAGGGAGTCGGAGATCACCTTCCCCTCCAAATTGCGACACGTGACAAAGCGGCTCATTCGTCCCTCACCACACAAACCTGAGCACTTGGAAAACAAAGAGGCCTTTCAAGGTAACAGCGGCGGAGCATCAGTCTCTAATCAGGAAGGCATTTGGGGCATCTGTAAGACTTTGGACACATTTATGGTACAGGTGTATTCCATGCAGCCACAAGTAATATGGACGGGATACAGAAACTGCCTTCTTCTTCTTTTTATTTAAAAAGTACCTAACTAAAGTTACCAGATGTCCCCGTTTCCTGGGGACGGTCCCCAGATTTACAAATCAGTCCCCATACAAAATCCATTGAAGTTGAAAAGTATCCCTGGATTAATTGAAAAAAATCTGGTAACCTTAACCTAGACCTCACAATTGCAGAATAATTTCTAAAAATATGCATGCAGGGTCTGATCCAGGTACAGGACTCCCAGGCTAAGAAGATCTTATTACATGAGTACTGTTCCACAGCATTTGATATTTTCATTTACATACATTCATTCAAAATAAGATGGGTTTATGAAGCAATTCTATATCCTCCCACCACGCTGACGAAGAATTCTACGAAACAGTAGTCAATATTCGGAATCACTGTTCAGTGTTGGACATCATATTTGCTAAATACACAAAGCTTCACAGCTTGTCTTTCATCGTAGAAAGTCTGGTACCTCGCTTCATTTAAAGATTTTCAGAGACTAAAGATTTCATTTTGTACTGGTTTGAAGGAATTCTATAAAGATTGTCTGTTGCATATGTACATGGTCATCGTGTTGCCTAGACATTGCTGACGAAGCTTCCCAGAAAGACAGTTGTTCTGCTTCTGCCAAACTTGCCCCAATACGTATACAGAAAAAAGATGAAAGCATACTCTCATTCCAGGGAGGCAGCAAGTCTGAGTTTGTGACACGCTGGGATCCTTTGCTAGCCTATTTTCTTGGTTATGGAAGTATGCAGCAAAGAGACAGGAATTGGTATGAGTTTCCTGCTGCCCACCTCAAAACCCACAGGCTCCACACGGATGACAGACCTGTCACCTCCATGCCCTCTTAATCTGATCCTCTAAGATGGGGAGGGGAGAGGAGGAGAAAATAGAAAGAATGTTCTGTGACTCACCGGCCCCCAGTCAGAGGCAGTCCAATGCCAGTCGCAGGGGGGGCCTGAGCACTCCCGCTCACCGACAGGCCTCAATGACTCACTGCACAGATTGGGCTCCACAGAGCAGCGAACCTCTCTCTTCATTGTCCCCGGGCCACCACATCGAGCAGAACACTATAAAGATGGGAACAGGATGATATGGGACAGGGAGAATGAAAAACAGCGTCAAGGATGCAAGCCCCAAGGAGGCAATTATTCTTCTGTGGACAAGCTTGTTCCTTCATAAACAGTATGGGATCACCCTTTCCGCTCAGGAAAGCGACCTAATATTCCCAAAGTGATTAACATCGCAAACAATTTATGTCAGCTCAGGGTCAACATGCATGCCTTCCTAACAGAGTCGTCTGTCCCGGGCAGCAGAATTTAAGTATGGTTTAAAAAAAACAAATGGTAACTAATTTATTCACAGTATAGTTTATTGTGGGGAGGGGAAGTTGGGTTGTTGTTGTTTTTTGCATCAGATGTTGAAATAATAATAATATTAAATAATAATAACAAGAACAATTATTATTACTATTTCTATTACTATTATTATTATTATTATTTCTACCACACCCATCTAGCTGGGTTTCCCCAGCCACTCTGGGCGGCTTCCAACAGGAGGTTAAAAATACATTAAAACATCATTCTAGTTACAGGTAGGTAGCTGTGTTGGTCTGCCGTAGTCCAATAAATAAATAAATAAATAAATTCCTTCCAGTAGCACCTTAGAGACCAACTAAGTTTGTTATTGGTATGAGCTTTCGTGTGCATGCACATGTATATCTGAAGAAGTGTGCATACACACGAAAGCTCATACCAATAACAAACTTACCAATAGTTGGTCTCTAAGGTGCTACATGAAGGGGTTTTTTTATTTTATTAAAACATCAGTCATTAAAAACTTCCCTAAACAGGGTTGCCTTCAGATGTCTTCTAAATGTCAGGTAGTTGTTTATTTCTTTGACATCTGATGGGAAGGTGTTCCACAGGGCGGGCGCCACCACCGAACAGGCCCTCTGCCTGGTTCCCTGTAACTTCGCTTCTCGCAGTGAGGGAACCGCCAGAAGGCCCTCGGAACAGGACCTCAGTGTCCAGGTTGAACGATGGGGGTGTAGGTGCTCTTTCAGGTATACAGGACCGAGGCCGTTTAGGGCTGTTTAGGGCCAGAACATTTGGGTCTGGCCTTGCTTACATGAACTGGTACCATACTCCCTCTGTTTCATGCACTGAGGCTGAAACTCGTCTTGGAAATGAGCCCCTTCTGCTGTGGAAAGTTTCACCATTTCCGCAAGGAGATTATGCCATGCAAAAATCTTAGCATGTGAAATGTGAGGGTACCACTGGAGTGATAAAGGTAGGGTGTCACTCAGTGCAAGGCGCCAAGGTGGGGTTTGTGTGTGTCCCAACCATTGCAGCCAGTCTCCAGCACTTTGCGCCCATTAGCACTCTGGATCCTCACACGAGACCTTCAGAAATGTGTGTCCTCCAGCCTAGAATTCCAGCCCAAAGGAATCCAGAGAACTGCTAGGTGGGCAGGAGCAGGGACCGAGTAACGGGAGCTCACTCTGTTGCGGGGATTCGAACTGCCAACCTTCTGATCGGCAAGTCCTAGGCTCTGTGGTTTAACCCATAGTGCCACCCACGTCCCTTAAGATGAAGGTAATCAGAGTTAAAACATCACAATTCCCTTCTTTTGCTCCCCAAGTGCCTAAAAAGGACATTTGTCTTTGCGCTTGCAGAGAGGCTCGCTTAGCTATTTCTCCTGGCCCATGCTGTAAACCTTTTTTTGCTGCACTTGCCAAAGAACCACATACCTCAGACCACTCTGACAGCTCCCACTGTGGCCCGCAAGCTTTGTTCTTGCAAGATTTCCGCTCCATGGGCCTGGCTAGCCCAGCTGACTCGCACATGTCATCGTAAACAGAGCTGTCAAAGCCCGGAGCCAGCATCTTCCAGCAGCGCACCGTTCGGTACTGATAGCCTTCGCTGCAGGTCCTGGAACACTCGCTCCACCGGCTGGTCTCCCACCTCCACGCAGGCGCCAAGGGCGAGAGAGAAGAGAGAGCAACCATGGCTTAGTCTGAGGGAACTTGGAAGGTCAGAGCAGTAGAATTACCCGAGTCAAGAGGGAGAAAACAGAAGAGGCTTCCAAGCTTCCTAACTGCATGAGGCTCTATAACAGGGGTTGGCAAGGCTTACCGGGCATGGGCCGGATCACTCCCGCAGAGATCCTCCGTGGGCCGGACTGGCGCAGCGTGATGCCAGAAATCGTGTCTGCACGTCTGCGGCGCTGGAAATCGCTTCTGCGCATGCCCAGACGCTGAAAATCATGCCTGCACAGAAGCAATTTCCAGAGCCACGGAAGAGAGCCCCCGTGCCAAGCTGCGCCGATTTAGCGCAGCACGCGGAGACTCGCAGAGCAGGCAGCTCGGTTCGGGGGCGGCTCAGGGGCTGGTTAACCGGCCCCCATGGGCCGCTTCCGGTCCGTGGGCCTTAGATTGCCAATCCCTGATTTATAACCACACAAGAGTGAAATGCATTTCCCACTAAAAATATCAACTCTGCAATTCATTATACAGTGGTACCTCGGGATGCAAACGGGATCCATTCCAGAGCCCCGTTCGCATCCTGAATAGAACATAAGATGCGACTGCACATTTGTGCATGCACGGGTCACGTTTTGCCGCTTCTGCGCATGTGTGTGACGTCATTTTCAGCGTCTGTGCATAAGCAAGCAGTGAAACCCAGAAGTAACGCGCTCCGTTACTTCCGGGTTGCCGTGGAGTCTAACTTGAAAACGCTCAACCTGAAGCACATTCAACCCGAGGTATGACTGTATATCATTTCCCAGTAAGCTTTAACCTTAGTGCAAGACCAACACATGTGATAAAAAGAACCTTCTTTTTACATAATGAATTGAAAAGGATGTTCAAAATAACGTTGTTGTTTTTTTAAAAAAACCCAGAAGCTTTTCTTTTGGGAATTATAGGGACAGAACTACCCAAATTGTATAGAAATTTATTTAGGTATGCGACTACAGCAGCAAGAATGCCACTCACCCCAAAGTGGAAAGAAGCAGAAGTCCCAGCAAAGGAAGAATGGATACAAAAACTTACGGAATATGCAAAAAACTTACCGGAAGAACAAGAAATCAAGATAACAAACTTTTTATAAAAGAATGCAAATGGTTTATTGAATATTTACATATAAATTTCAAACAGATAAAAGCGTTGGCAGGATTACTGCAATAACCTGCAGTTTCATAAAAGTATATATTTAAAGTAGATAATTAAATGAATTTGGATATGCAGAAGATATTTAAAAATAAATTAAGGGAACTGCAGAAAGAGGGGGAAGGAAGTCAAGCTTAGAAATTTAAAATAGATTGTAAAACTAATAAAATGTATTAACTTGAAAAGTATAAATATAAATTTTATATATATAAACTCTGCAAACTGATTAAGTAAGCAACCACAAAGCAGACCCGTTATAATAAGTCCTGCAGTTGTTTATAATTTCCCCAGCATTTTGTAAAGGAAGACAGAAGAACATTACAGTTAACCACCTTCCACCAGCCTCAAACTACAGATTTCATATTCTGGTTCAGGATTAAGATTGCACACCTACAATCCCACCCCAGTCCCGTTCTGGGAACTGGCTCCTTTCACTCACCTAGGCTGGCAGTCTCTGCCTGTGCAAAACTCATGGGTGGGCTCAGGGCGCGTCACGGCGTCACAATACGCTTCTTCCACTTCCACGCCGTCATAGCGGACGCACATGGCGTAGGAGCTGCTGATCCCTGGGTGGACAACCAAAAGTGTTTCTTTTTAGTCCCTGTTCGTTAAATGGCCCCTAGCAGCTTCCCTGACAGCTGCTAAGCAGCCTAAGCGACTGATCTTTTCCCACTGCCGCAACCACCACTTTTGCAGATCTCATCTGATGGGAGAAGATGGCCTTGCTTCCACAGGAAGACCCTCATCCTGTCCCCACAATGCCCATCTTTCCAGAGGGACTTTGTAGACCTCTGTTTTCCAGAGCAGATCCAGAAACACGGGAGGGCAAGATACTCGCGTTTCCCTTCTCATCTCTTCCTTGGAAGACATGAAGGGGCTCTGAGCAGCAGAGCTGGACAGCATCTTAAAGCTGCACAGTTAATGCTGGGATATGAATAAAGAATCAAGGCTGTGCAATGAACAATTATGTGATTAAATTTAATGCGTATCAATTAATTAAAAAATACGATAGTTTATTGCCCATGTGCACTGTGGCGGGTTAAATGCTCCAGGGCAGCTAGAGAACAAACGTGCTAAAAAGTCAGTCATTGTGCCTTATGGATGCACAGAGTGGCTTAGAACGGGGAAGGGCTGCAGGTCACGTGTAGGAAGGTCTAGGTTCAGCTACCACCAACCCCAGGGACAGGGCAGCAGGGAGGTCCAGCGCCGAGGGCCTTCTGGCGGTTCCCTGACTGCGAGAAACAAAGCTACAGGGAACCAGGCAGAGGGCCTTCTCGGTAGTGGCACCCGCCCTGTGGAATGTCCTCCCACCAGATGTCAAAGAGATAAACAACTACCTGATATTTAGAAGACCTCTGAAGGCAGCCCTGTTCAGGGAAGTTTTTAATGTGTGACATTTTGATGTATTTTTAATCCTTGTTGGAAGCTGCCCAGAATGGCTGGGGAAACGCAGCCAGATGGGCGGGGTACAAATAAGAAATTATTATTATTATTATTATTATTATTATTATTATTATTATTATTATTATCAGGCAGCACTGCCTGTCCATGCAAGCAGCAGTAGACTAAATGGACCAATTGGTTGCGCTAGGAAGGGCTGATGGGAGTTGTAGTCCAAGGCAGCTGGAGGGGCACCAACTTGTGAGGGGCTGCTCCATGCAGAATTTGTGGCTGAAGAGTTAAGAATGCAGAGGCGAAGTAAACAGTCAACGGATACCTGAATGAATAGCAGATGCATTGCTGTCAACCTACAATACCAGACTTATTTCTAGAGAAGATCTCTCTGGGTGCTAGGAAACGAGGCACATTTAAGCAGAAGATTGGGTCCCTCACAAGAATTGCTCTCGAAAACCATCACCTTCGCAGCAAAGCTACCTGACGTGCACGTTGAGCTGCAAGGGGCGTAGGCCGATACCTTCCAGCGATACATGTCAGCCAGGCTGATGTCGTCATGGCCGAGGGGATTCAGCTCAAAGTCGTTGCTGCAGGGAAAAAGGAGCTTGCATGAACTCACAGGTGGACTGTCTACTCTGGGAAGGAAAGGCCATCCTTTCTGAGGGGACTAGGAAAGGAGCCCAGGTATGAATGCAGTCGTTGCTCCCCCAGAGTCTGGTGAATACCAAATCTGACGCATATCAAAACTCAAGTGCTGGTGGCCTGTCAAGCATGCCATTCTTTAGGCCAGTAATTCCCAAAGCATAGACTCAGACAAATTAGCATGCCACAAGGAAGGCATAAATAGTAATAAGAAGAAGAGTTTGGATTTGCTATCCTGCTTTATCACTACCCTAAGGAGTCTCAAAGCGGCTAACATTCTCCTTTCCCTTCATTCCCCACAACAAACACTCTGTGAGGTGAGTGGGGCTGAGAGACTTCAGAGAAGTGTGACTGGCCCAAGGTCACCCAGCAGCTGCATGTGGAGGAGCGGGGAAGCGAACCCGGTTCACCAGATTACGAGTCCACTGCGTAAGCAAAAGAGGCTGCCCACTGTGCCCCTAGGTGGGTCCCTGCTCTGGCTTTGCGGTCTTCCCATCGGCCTTCACTGTGACCCACAGAACTATCGTTGATGGGTGGGTAGCCCATCTGAAT